TCCTTTTTTTCTTTTTTTGCAGGGGATTGGTACCAGGGATTGTACCCAGGGATGCTCAACCACTGAGCTACAACCCCAGCCCTTTTTATTTTTTATTTTGAGACAGGTTCTTGCTAAGTTGCTTATGGGCTCACAAAGTTGCTGAGGCTGGCTTTGAACTCACCATCATCCTTCCTCAGCCTCCCAGCTCACTGGGATTACAGGCGTGCACCACAAGTACTCTTGCCTGAATCCAGCCTTCTTTACAATTATCTTTTTTATTTCTCCCCCCTTTGAAGTCTTTTTTCCCTAATTCAAAATTGTCCACTTACTCTTCTGCCTTGTCTAAGAATTCCTGCACCTCAGATCTTTGCTCCCTGTCTTGGGCTTCTCTAACAGGTGTGCCTCAACCTACCTGCATTAGTCTGCTCCGGTGCATAACAATGTACCACAGACTGGAAGATCTCAACAACACACATTCATTTTCTCACCACTCTCAGGCTGGAGGTCCAAGGTCAAGGTGTCAGCGGGCAGGCTCCTTCTGAGGCCTCTCTCCTTGCTTTGCAGATGGCTGCCTTCTGTCTCTGTCTTGTAATGTGCTTCTGCCTGGCATTTCTATACCCTCCTCTTCCTATAAGGACATCAGTCCTATAGGATTAGGAACCTCTTAATGACCTCATTTAAACTTAACTTTATCTTTTAAAAAATCTCTCTCCAAAGACAGTCACACTGGGGTGCTTGGGATTAGGACACCCTCATAGGAGTTGGGGGGGACACAATCCAGCCCATCACCATACCTTACTTTGAAGGAGCCCCTCCTTAAGGGAGGCCCTTGATTCCTCTCTGGAAATGCTTCTTCTAAATCCATTTCTCATTTATCCTATTCAGAGACCAGTTTTGCGGAGGCAGGATTTTCTACTGGAAGTCCTCCTAGATAATGTTAGGCTGGACACCATGGATTTAAACTTGGAGGCTTGCACTCCTGGAATCCAGCGGCTTGAGAGGCTGAGGCAGGAGGATTGAAAGTTCAAAGCCAGTCTCAGCAATTTAGTGAGGCTCTAAGCAACTGAGTGAGACCCTGTCTCTAAATAAACAATAAAAAGGGCTGAGGATGTGGCTCAGTGGTTATGCGCCCTGGTTCCATCCCTGGTACAAAAACAGAACAAAACACACTCGGAGGCTATTCCCTCAGGCTACAGTGGGTTTATCTGTTTTCTCAGCATTATAACTGGGTTCCTTGTGGGGTACTTCAAATTGCCCACTGGACTGGATTCACAGTCTGAATCAGGACTCTTGGGTGATGGGCACACTGTGACTTTCTGAGAAGATCTAGATCCAGGTGAACCGCCTCGCATCAGCAGCTACCCAATAGCGTGGCTGTCTGTAAATTAAAACAGTTTCTTTTCTTTTTTTTTTTTTTATTAGTTACACATGACAGTACAATGATCTTGACAGAAAAGAGTTTCTAATATAAGGGGGAAGCTGGGCATGGTGGCCCATGCCTGTAATCCCAGCACCTGGGGAGACTGAGGCAGGAGGATGGTGAATTCAAAGCCAGCCTCAGTAAGGCCCAAAGCAACTCAGCAAGACTCTGTCTCTAAAAAAAAATATATTAAAAAAGGGCTGGGGATGTGGCTCAGTGGTTAAGTGCCTTGGAGTTCAATCTCCAGTACCCCACCCCCCAAAAAACATAATAATTCATGGGGAAAAATTGGTACCACTACAGAAATCAAAAGTCCTTGTTTCTTCTGCTGGCTGAATGCTGGGGATCACAGAAACCCAACGCTGGCAGCCAAAGCTGGAGTCTGAGGCGATCCTTGATACTGCTCTGCAGGTGTCGTCACCTGGTTGCATACCTGTCCAAAAGAATGGCCATTTGTCAGGGTCTGTGCTGAGTTATCCTGGCTCCATCCTCCCACACAGTGCAGGCATTCATGGCATTGCCCCACTCGGGGCCCCACTCTGAGCAACAGCACAAGGTCTTTCAGCCTGTCCTTTCCCACCTATGGGACCTACACCATAGGTGTAGCAACCCATGCTACAAAGGGAGGCTTCTCATCCCCCTGCACCCCACCCACTCCTCACCTTCCACTCCACTCCAGGCTCCTCTCAGAGTCCAGAAAGCACAAGCAAATTCTCTGCTCAGCAGCTGCAGCAGCCTGAAATATGCCTTTACTGCAGAATCAGGGCTGGATTTCAGTCCTAGGCACCCTCCTTGAATCGGGGCCTTCCCCACCCAGTTTCTGGTCGGCTATAATATGTCCTAGAAATTATTAGCATTATTATTATTAATTTTGGGGGGGGTACTGGGGATTGAACCCAGAGGCTCTTAATCACGGAGCTACATCCCCAGCTCTCTTTCTTTTTTTCCCCAGTCCTTTTTCATATTTTATTTTGAGACAGGGTCTTGCTGAGTTGCTTAGGGCCTCACTAAATTGCTGAGGCTGGCTTTGAACCTGCCATCCGCCTGCCTCAGACTCGCAGACCTCTAGGATTACAGGCGTGCACCATCGTGCCTGGCTCCTAGAAATGATCTTTACTGACCCAACATGGAAATACTCTGGTGCTCTCTCCCTTTCCCCAGGACAGAGAGGAGAAAGGTTTCCTTTTCTGGAAATCCTTAACAATAGGCAAAAGACTCATCTATTTGGACTGGAGGATATCAGATGTCCCTGAGAAACACCTCCTTGGGCCCAGGGCTGTCCTCTGACAATTGTTCCTCCATGGAGTGGTGTGAGAAGAACTGGTCATCTCAACAGGGATCCCTGAAAGGACCATGAACTGGTAATCATTATTACATTTTTTTTTAAGAGAAAGAGAGAGAGAGAGAGAGAGAGAATTTTTTATTTATTTATTTTTTTAGTTTTCGGTGGACACAACATCTTTGTTTGTATGTGGTGCTGAGGATCAAACTCCAGCCTCAGGCTTGCCAGGAGAGCCCGCTACCGCTTGAGCCACATCCCCAGCCTGGTAATCATTATTAATTACCCAGAATGCCTTGATCTTTTCCCTCTCCTCAGAACCAGCTAAAATTATCATTGAGCTGTTCCAGGAAGAGGGACTGCCCAAGGTTCCAGGATCAGAAACTTAATACCCAAATTAATATGTTAGTGGTATCTGAAGGTTGAGCCTTTGGGAGGTAACTAGGATTCCATAAGGTCATGGGAGGGATCCCTAGTGGCATTAGTGGCTTTATAAGAAGAGGAAGAGAGACCTGAGCTAGCCGGTTTGCTCTCTCACCATGCAATGCCCTCTACCATGTTAAGGTACAGTAAGAAGGCCCTCACTGGAGGCCCGACAAATGCCTGTACTGTTCTTTTGGATTTAGCTAAATAATCCTCTTTCTTTATAAATTACCCTGACTGTGGTATCCAGTGATAGCATTACAAAACAGAGAAAGGCATGGACCATGTTCTTTCTTTGCAGTCACCATTTGTTGTTGTCTTCTCTGAGATGTCAATGAACTGGGCCTTTTGGAGTGTTCCTTGAGTTCCTGTGGGCCCTCTTAAGGAACAGCACTATTGTACATCAATGACTCAGAATCGATCATTTCTGTCTTCAAAATCTTCCCTTGAGTCCTTGCTGGAAGGTTCCTTCCCCAATCATGACTCTTTTTAAACGGTCACCTTCCTACTCATTTCCTGCTTTCCACCACCAACTTTCTGCCTCCCTTTCTCAACCCCAACAGGAGAGAAAAGATTTCTTTCCTCATTCATTGTAAGGTTTATGGCCAAGACCCCTATAACAGAAGACAGATTAGTAAGAGGAAAGTATAGAGCCAGGCACGATGGCGTGTGCCTGTAATCCCAGCGCTCAGGAGGCTGAGACAGGAGGTTCACGAGTTCAAAGCCAGCCTTAGCAATGGCGGGGCAGTAAGCAACTCAACTAAATAAAATACAAAACAGGGCTGGGGATGTGGCTCAGTGGTCAAGTGCCCTTGAGTTCAGTCCTCAGTCCAAAAAAAAAAAAAGGAAAATATATCCAAATTTCCTTAATATAAGTTCTGTGTGATGCAGGGGCCTTCAGGAATAGGGGCAAAAAACAGGGCTTCTGCATTTTTAGGGACAGTCATGCAGAAGTACATTGGAGGACCAAAGGGTCTGATCTCTGGGGCATTTAACAAGGCCTGTTTATTCAGATTCTTTTTGGTGTCCCTGTGTGACATTCCTTCCCTCTGAGTACACAGCAGGACACCTGTGACATGAAGGTCTTCTGAAGGAGAAAGGAGGGAGATTATGTGACTCACTGGAGCAGAGAAAGGAAAGGTGAGAGCGGCCTTCCTGCTTCAGTTGTTTTCTGAAATGCCACGGTGCCATTTTGGTGGGGGGTAGCATGTCTTGAACCCTTTCGGTTCTTCTGTACCCCCTTCAATTTGGTTTTCATCTATAGCCATTCAACTTCATTAGGGAAATGAGTTCCTGGCTCTAGCTTCATCTCCATCATAGAGCTTCTGAACCCCTGGGGGTACAGACTAAGATGGGTGTAGGAACAGCCACACTGCCGGCTAGAACACTGCAGGTGCGCATGTGTGTGGCTGTCCCGTGTGCAATGATGTGCAAGCTGAGCTTCAAAGACCAGCAAGACTTTTACCAGGGCAGGATGAGAACAGCCTGAGCAAAGGCTCGGAGCAGGCAAACACAGGAAGAGTTCAGGAAACAAGGGTCGCAAATGTCTGAGCATGAGGAGAAGCAAGGGATCAGAGGGAAGCAGAAATCTAGAGAGCAGACAGAGGAAGGCAGATGGACAGGGACCGGGCCATGTTTGGTGAAACTTCAGGAGTTTCTGAGTAGAACTTAACTGTGAGAATTCATCAGACATCAGGAAACATCTTCAAAATGAAGGCTCACTTTCAACTTTTTCATTTATTAGTAACAAAGAAACTGAGTTGTTGTTATCATCATCATCATCATCATCATCATCATTAATTATTTTGGTACTGTGGAGTGAATCCAGGGTCGCTTAACCACTGAGCTACATTCCCAGCCCTTATTTCTGTATTTTATTTAAAGACAGGGTCTCTCATGCTTGCTTCGGCAGCACAAACACTAAAATTGGAACAATACAGAAAAGATTAGCATGGCCCCTGAGCAAGGATGAGACACAAATTCATGAAGTATTCTGTATTTTTTGTGGAACCAACCTAGATGCCCTTCAATAGATGAACTGATAAAAAAAAAGTGGCATATATACACAATGGAATATTACTCAGCAATAAGAGAGAATAAAATCATGACATTTGCAGGTAAATGGATGGAGTTGGAGAAGACAATGCTAAGTTAAGTTAGCCAATCCCCAAAAAACAAATGCCAAATGTTTTCTCTGATATAAGGAAGCTGATTCATAGTGGGATAGGAAGTAGGAGCATGGGAGGAATAGATGAACTCTAGATAGAGCAGAGGGGTTATTAAAGATAGTGGAATGTGATCATCATTATTATCCAAAGTACAGGTATGAAGACACGAATTGGTGTGAATATACTGTGTATAAACCAGAGATACGAAAAAGTGTGCTCTATATGTATAATAAGAATTGTAATACATTCCGCTGTCATATATAAATTTTTAAAAAGAAAAAGAAAAAAAAGACAGGGTCTCACTGAGTTTCTTACATTACAGCCTCACTAAGTTGCTGAGGCTGGCTTTGAACTCCCGATCCTCCTGCTTCAGCCTCCTGAGCTGCTGGGATTACAGATGTGCACCACCACTCCCAGCCTGAATTATTACTACAAAGTGCAACATATCCCCCAATTCTTTGATAGCTTCGTAGTCCTTTTCCACTAGTGAATAAAAAGGGAGGGGGGATAGTCCAAGGCTTCATAACTAGGAATTGACTTCAGTGTCTTCATATGAACAGCATCAAAAGTTTCCATGCTGAGCCTCTCATGAACAAAGAAACAGCTTGATTTTCTTTATTTTTATTTTTAAAATTAATTAGTTATTTAGTGATGGTTCAGATTGAAACTGGCACCTCGCACATGTGAAGTAAGCACTCTAACAACTAGTTAAAACTCCTAACCTTTTTAAAATTTTTTGACATAGGAACTTGTAAAGTTGACCAGACTGGCCTTGAACTTGGGATCCTCCTGCTTCAGCCTCCTGCGTAGTTGGGATTACAGCTGCACCAGGTCCCCAGCTGCCTTCTTTCCTTTTTTAAGTGGAAACAGACTTCGGATTGAGAGTCAGGTCATTTCCCCATTCCTCTCCCTGCCCTCCGGGATGCAGGAGCTCCCTCCCAGCACCCAAGGACCCCTGGGCTGCCCACCTTAGCTCTCATCCCCTGTTCTCTCAGTGTGACTTTTAAGAGAACGGGGTCATCATGCAGCAATCAGGAAGAGGCTGCCAAGAAGGCTCCTTCCAGGAGCTCAGTACTTGCTGATCCTGGAAGGCAAGCCCGGGTGAAATGGAAGGACTTTGAGATAGCAAACAATGCCATCAGGGGATAGTGATCCCCAGAAAAGGTGGTCAGCCACAGGAGAGTGCTGAAATGTCACACTGCCTTGGCACATTCCAGTCCTCCTGTTTCAGTTACAAGATACTTTTTCACTTATTTAAAGACATCCACAAGGCCACCCAATGCACATCTCTTCGAAGTCTATATATTTAAAATATATGTTTAAATTACCTTTTTGCCCCCAAATCTATTGTGCATGACTTTTTTTTTCAATTATCTGAAAATTATCTAGCCAAAAATAATCCATTGCATATTATTCTCTTAACTGCCTCATCCTAAAAATACACTGTCTTCCCAGCAACCCCACCTGCCAGGCAGTGTCCCCAGAATGGAAAGGCCTTGTACCAAACAAAGCCACACACTGGGGGCCAGGAAACGCCCCCTTCTCCTAGTTCTCCTGGGTCCTCAGTTTCTCCTTCTGCAAGTGGGATATATAGTGTCATCTCGATAATGAGGTAGGTCTGAAAAATATTTTAGACCCAGGCATGAAAATGGTTCTAGGTCCAGAGTTAAGTGTATCTCATCTTAATAGAAAGAGAAGTCCTTTCAAAGCTGTGTGAAAGCTGAATGTTTTTTTCTCTTTTCTTCGTTCCTTTCTTCTTCTTTTTTCTTTTCTAACTCCCCATCCCACCCCCAGTGCAGAGGATGGAATCCAGGACCCCTGACATCCTAGGCAAGAGCTCCATCACTGAGCTATACCCAGCCGCCCCTTGATTTTTTCAAAGCACCAAAGGATTTCACACTTTACCTTTCAGTGAATGCCCTTATGAATTTAAAATCTGTTTTGCCCTTGTAGACGTGTTTCAAACATTTGGATTTTCTGAAAACAACTTTTAACACAATGTAAGCTAGCAATGACCTATTCTTTATTCTGTCATCCCGCTCATTAAATTAGATGACTCCTTCTTGCTGGTCTATCAGATTGGGCTCTGGAGTCAGATGGTAATTGCTTAACCTCTTCGACTTATGAACCTAACCAGGCCTCTTTGGAGCTCATCAGCATTTCTTCCCAGGAGAGGAAGGAGAAGAGAAAGTCAATGAAAATTAAATGAGTTCATTTTGCTATTTTTAGTAAACATAAGAAGTGGACCGACGAGAGACGAAGCTCAAACCAATATGGAATTATGTTTGCTTGCAATTATCCCTGCTAGCCTCAGAGGGTGGCTTGGAAATGGCCACATGTAAATACCCCACCGAGAATAAAGATCCTCCTGCCATAAAACACAGTTTACAAGGGTGGCTCATTGGCTCCATCTCAGAGCCAGAGAGCAGAGCAGCCTGGGTTCAGGGCCCAGCTCTGCCCCTAACCAGCAAAGTGATGGATGACGTCCATATTGTAGGAATTCTGACTCCAGAGCCTTGGCCCTGTGCCTCGCTGCCTGTCCCTAGCAGGAATCTCAGAGCCTGAGTTCTTTGCTGCCTGTGGTTCTGGTTGAATGAAAGGCTTTAGTCTGTCTTGGGAAGAGATGAGGCTTAGCCTATGTTAGTTTCACTCATGCAATTAATCCATCTTGATTACTTTACTGTATGGAAGCTCAGTCTTGTCATAGCATGTAACAGTACTTTGTCTTTGGCAGTTAGTCTTCTTTGTCAAACACTTTTGAAAAACTGTTTCAATGCTTTCTGTCAAAATCGGAATGGATTTTCATGTGATTCTCCACCTTTAGCTGGAAGCCGCAGCTCCTGTTTTTTTGTAATCCCCTCAGCCCTCCCTCTTAGTATCTCCCCAGCTGCCTCAGACTGGGATGAATATTTAATAAGGTGAGATTTCCACATTTCTAATGAGATTTCCACATTTCTAATGGTTATTAGTATTCCTTCAATTCTCATAAAGGTTGTGCTTTCCCCCAGTACTCATTTAATAAACTTGAAAATAATCAACAATGTGAGTACAAATCCCTTAATTGGCTTTATAGAGAAAAAAAAATGCATGAAAAACGTACTGCTATACCAGATCACGACAGAAGCGTGAAGGGCAGCTCTAGCAGAAAGCAAGAGCAGCAGCCTTAGGATGACAGCCTGCCACTACCACATGAGTGAGTCTGAGCCTTAGTTTCCTCATCTGTAAAACGGGAATCATTAACACTTTCCAAGATTGTTCTGAGAATTAAACTTGTGAATGAGATTTGTAAACTATTAAATGACATAAAGATATTAGCTGAGATCTGAGAATGAAGGTCCCTAGGTTTTTTAAAAGAACTTAAGGAAGAAGGTCGGGAGGGTCTGAGACAGAAGACAGTGAGCCCAAGAGGAAGGTGGGATCAAGCACTTAAGGGTGGTAAACACAACCTGCCCCCATGAGATGTGAAGTCTAGCCACCTAATGCCACCTCTCCCATCCTGAGCATTCCAAAGAAAGAACCTTTGGCAACCAAATAGGGGTGATGGATGAATTAATGAATTTAATGTATGCAATACCCAGAGGACAGTTTAAAAAAAGCTTCCCCAGCAGAACCAGGGTAGGCATGCAGCTTGTTACATGACACAGGTAATGTCCACCAGTGGAGATTTTTCAGGTCCTCAGAGAGGCAATATTTGAGACCAGGGTGATGAATTCTTTTGCCCAAGGAGAGGTTTCTGGACTCTTCTATGCAGGAGATTCAACTTTGGGGAAAACACTCCCATTTAACAGATGATCCAAACTGCCAGATGAATGAAATCTAGGATGAGAACTAAGAGAATAGAGCCTTAGAAGAGTTGTGGGAATAGAGCCCAGACATCAAGTGTAGGAAATAAATGAGAGCTGAATTGGTAAAGGCAATAAATATATTGGCCTGTTTCACTCTCTTATGAACCATTTTCAAAGTTAGTAAAGCATTTTTAAAAAAAGTCAAAGGAAAAAAATGCCCTTAGATGACTTTATTCTTGCAAACTTTATTCTTGCAAACGGTTTATTCAGGACTCTCAACTTATTGGGGCTATAAACATCTAATGGTTTTATTGCTGTCAACGTCTGTCTGCAACTATTTTCTAGGCAATTCCCATTTCTCACCGGTAGCAAGACATCTGTGAGAAGACTGCCAGATTGAACGAGCTTCCTAATGTTTTGGTTATTAGACCAGTCTCATTTTTTTTTTTTTGTATTGAAGATTCAGTTCTTTGCAAAAAAGGAAAATAACAAAATGCCAGCAAGGACATGGAGAAGTTGGAATCTTCATATCTTGCTGGTGGGAATGTGGGATAGAACAACTAATGTAGGTGCTTCCTCAAAAAGTGAAATAGAAAATAACCATATGATTCAGCAATTCCCCTTCTGGGAAAAGACCCAAAGCCATCAAAAGCAGGGACTTGAACAGATATTTGATCACCCGTGTTTATAATAGCATTATTCACAATAGCCAAAATGTGGAAACAACCCAAATGTCCATCAGCAGATGAATGGGTAAACAAAATATGATCTGCACAGTTCAGATGTGTTAAAATTGGTAAGCCCTGAGGCCATGTGGTTAGCCCCTGGGGACTTTTTGGGGGGGTCAGGGGGAGCAATGTAGGGATCAAACCCAGCACTTGTGCAAATTCTCTACACTGAACTACAATCCCAGCCGTTCTGGTGACTTCTTGAACTTGGAACAAAAGAGATGATAACCACTGAGCATTGGCCCTTAGGTTTGGTACTCTGTAGCAACTTTAGGACAACAGGAAAATCCCACTTAACATTTTATTCCTCACAGTGAAGCAT